ATATTAAATTCTGATTATAGACAAAAACATTTTGTAAACACGAATAGTGTTAAACAATTTCATTTTATTCTTAAGTAATTATTTATTTGTTTTGACATTTAAAATTAAATGTGTAGATATATACATATTTATATTAAGAGAATGAATATTTCCCCTATTTCACTTGTCTTAAATATATTTCCAGGAATTATTATGTAAGAACTTTTTTTACAAGAATTACAAGACAGATTGTGTTACGTTCATTGTTTTTGGTTGTAGTGTGTAAATATATATATATATATATATATATATATATATATATATATATATATATATATATATATATATATATATATATATATATATATATATTTGTTTAGATTGACACAATTTTTGTTTTGTCGGCCTACGTTGTCTTTTTTTTTCTTATTTCTTCAGAGTGCTACTTTTCAATTTATTTTACACAATAGCGAAGTAATGACATACAGCTAGTAATTATATATATATATATATATATATATATATATATATATATATATATATATATATATATATATATATATATATATATATAATACACGTATATAGAACGTGTTAAAAATTCGGCGCCTTTTTTTTGCTCATTTCGCCCCCCCTACAACGAAAACCTGTATACGCCTCTGACCCCGGTCCTCCAGGTTGGGGGTTCAGCATAAGGTCAGCAACCTTATCTCGTAAAACAACTATCGCTACAGAAACCCATATATTCATAATTAAGCTGTTCGTACCTTGTGGTTTGTTGTTTGTTTTTTAACGTGCTCATACTTCTGTTGTTTATTGCTTGCGGTGTTCGTACTTTCGGTGTTCGTACATTGGGTATTCGTACACGTGTCTTGGCATTTCGTGTTTTGTGCTTTCTTACTTTTGTGTTTGTAACTAAAGTTCGTACTTGGGTTGTCGTGAATTGGGTGTTCTTACATTGGGTGTTCGTACATTGGGTTGTCGTAAATTTGGATGTTCTTGCTTTGGTGTTTTTTTCATACTGTGAGTTGTCGTAAATTGTGTGTTCGTACTTTGGGTGTTCGTACATTGGGTGTTCGTACATTGGGCATTCGTACATTGGGTGTTCGTACATTGGGGGTTCGTACTTCGTACCTTGGGTCTTCGTACTTTGTATGTTTGTACTTTGGGTTTTTGTACCTTGGATGTTCGTAAACTGGATGTTTTTACCCTTTGTACCTTGGGTGTTCGTAAACTGGATGTTCTTACCCTTCGTACCTTGGGTGTTCAAAACTTTGGATGATGGTAACTGGGGATGATCGTGGTTTGGAGAATTGGTAGCTAAAGTACCTCATGCTGAGAGGAAGTTCATTCGATGTTTATTGAACAAGTGCTCGGTGGATGGAACATTCGAGAGATCCTAAAAATAGATCATCTAGTAGCAAAAAATATAAACAAAAAAATCAAGATTCTATTTTGATTCCAGGTTGACTACATCCTCACCCCTTACCCCGTCGTATATTTAGACTTGCACCCTGCCCGTACAGTGCACGTAAGCATAGCCTGTAAACACCAAACCACGTGACGCATAAAGTCATGTGACGTATTAAACCACGTGAGAATAATTGTAAAACAAAAACGGGAGTCTGTTATTGCCAGTAAATAAAACGTGATTCGTTTGATTATTGTATAGTACGGTAACCCGTTTTACCACATTCCATATTTACAGCGATCACCTGTTGTGAGATATTTACAATTCGTAATTATGTTAATGTTTGAATACTATACAAGATTATGTCTTTAATTTATTCTTCAATTAAATACTGCATCAACAGCACCATTTTATTAAGTTTTCACTTTTTTCTTTAAAATTTACACGAATATTTCAATTTTCAATAAAATTTCGAACTTATTTTAAATAAGTTATTTACGCTGTTAATTTTGTTATCTAATATATAAAGCTCAGTTCTGTATGTAACGCATATGTTTGTCGTTGGTCTTGAATGGATTTAAGTGTTAGACAATTATCGTGCGCATTTGTCTAAATTTATGAGTTAAAAAATTACTGTTGAAAGTGTTGGGAAATATTTTTCATTTTTCAAAGTATAGTAATAATTGTCGGCATGTTCATTAAACAAAAGTTTTTAAAAAATATCATCTTTTACAAAAATTCGAATTATGTCTTTATTTAGTCCTATAGCACTTACTTCCCTTTGATAAATTAGGAAAACACAATTACTTCCCTTTATAAAACCATTGCATTAGTGGAAAATAATTTACTTTTTATTACTTTGTTTTGGTGTTGGGAAAAAAAAAATAATTACATAATTAGCGGGGATTGATCAAGTGCAAATGTTGTAGGTATTTTACGGATAAGCTTGGAGTATTAAAATTGTTCATTAAATTGAAACAGGCGCGTTCGTTTAAGTGAGTGCAAAAGACTATGAATACTTTGGGGTACTATAGTCGTTCATTAAGCTAAAACAGGTGATTCCGCCCCGGGCGTTTATGTTCGCGTTAGTGCTTTCTTTGTGTTTAGGTGGGTTTGCGTTAGTGGTTGTGTTTTGATTTGGTTCGTTTTTGTTCTTCTTTTTTCGTTTTTGTTTGTGTTTTTTTGTTTGGGTTTGTATTTGTGTTTTTGGTTGGTTTTGCGTTTGGATTTGGTTTGTTTTCGTTTGCTTTTTCGTTTTTTTTTTTGTTGGTATTGGTGTTTGTGGTTGGGTTTGTGTTAGGTTTTTGTTTTCGTTTGCTTTTTTGTTTGTTTTTTCTTTGTGTTTGTATTGGTGTTTGTGGTTGTGGTTGGGTTTGTTGTTAGGTTTTTGTTTTCTTTTGTATTTGTAATTGTGTTAGCGTTATGTTTGCGTTTTGTTGTTTTGGTTGGTGATGGTTTGGGTGGGCAATGCCGGGTTTATGATGATTACTAAACACACAGGTAATGGTCTTTAACAGAAAGGTTTTTCACAGAAGCCAGAGCAGGGCCTGGCCGGGACGGCTAGTAATTATATAAGTAAAGATATATCTATTAAAATATCTTTAAAATTCTCGACATTTCACTGAAACGTTGAATTTGTTTTTATATTTGCTACACCGGGCTTTCATACAGCACAAACGGATAAGCACAGCGATATTTTCAATTCAATTTTTCTTCAGAGTAGCCCGCCCCTGTGCATGGAACAATGCCGAATCCACCTTGACCTTAAATCGTTTGCCTGCTTGCTTCCCCTTCTACATTAGAATGATGAGTATCGTTTCCTTTGTACTGTAGACTTGCATTGCCAAGTGATGAACTTAGAAACAGGTATCGTTTGCAGCTTTTATAGAACGGCCATGTCGAAGTGGGGTACCGGTGGGGGGTTAAGGGGTGGGGGTCGGGGTCGGGGAGGGGGGAGTATTGGGTGTTAGTCCAGAACTTTTTAAATGTATCGGTATATCTTAGGAAATGCAATCGCCCCTTAAAACAATAATGACTTAACTCGGATGTCGCTATATGACTTAGCGCACTCAGCTGAAATAAATACCTGACATAGTTTGGGATGGGGGAGGAGCCTTATGAAACAAAGGAGAAAAATAAAAGATATCCTAGATGTAGATGGTGTAGTTGAAGTAGAGTGCGACTATAACCGTTACCTTGGTACGTGAAGTAATTGTGTTGTGGGCAATTGTTTAGCCGTCTTTACTTTTCCAAACGCGAGTTGTGTACTCATCAGAGCTGAGTGGACTCAGGGACGTCATATAAACTATTTACCACCCAGCTCATAGGGGACATGAACAGTAATATAATAACCAATACTAACCCCAAGAGTTTTACTTTTACGGTGTCTTTAAAAAAGTCATTTCGAAATTCTGATTGCCTTATGTCAGCTTGTATATAAGCCTCAATAGTAAAGCTCCCTTTTCTTACCTGACGGTCCATGGGGCAAGTGAAGTAGAAGTTCACCTGTTTCAATAAGAACAGTGTGGTCAGCACCAGCCACTATGCCCAACCTCCTTCACTGCCCCTAACGTGAGTGGACTTGAGGAAACGTAATTGGACTCAAGTATGTTCTACTGACTTGAACCCGGATTCGAACTCGAGACTTTAGTGTTAGCCGCTCTACCACTCGGTCACACCGTCCCACAACGCCATAATAAAAACATCATCTTTTGTTCAAAACTTTAATTTGTATAAACGCCACAATAAAAATATAATCCTTTTGTTCTAAAAAAATATATAAAATATAATCTACCATCGGCATTTGTTTTTTGTTGTTTTTTTTTCGCATTAACCTGTGAATATCTAAGCCAAGCCGACGTGTCCATTATCTATGTAAATCTCACATAAACACAATCTCTCTTTGTATCTTTTCATTAAGGCGTTTGGTCATGAATACACCTCGATTCCATGAGCTACCACCCGACTTTACACACTCAGCAAGGTACACATTACCCTCCCCCCCTTCCCTTCCCACTTCCCACTTCTTTGAAAGCCATGGCCGAATTGAGAACATTTAATCGCCCGCCGGTTTACCTGCAAAATTCTATAAAAGGTATCTCCCGCTTGAGCAGAAGAAAAATAGGAATCAGTGCCAGGACGAAACGAGAAGGGGAGGGGGTGAAGTCTGGCAGGTCACGTGACTTCCCACTAAAACGAACGGTAGTTGGATCTGACTCCCGTGGAATTGTTTGAAGATTTTACTCACTTTTCGTGGTTGTGTTAGACTTCTTAGCGCCGGGGACTCAACGGAATAGGTGACGCGGGATTTGAGTGTTCACTTTTCCTGTTTGTGTTGATGTTCTTCGTGTGTTTGTTGTGATGTAGGGATCGTGTGCGTGGTGGGGAATGTGCAGGTAAAGACGTGTGCACTGTGCCGTGGTGGTGAGTTTAATTTAACTCAAGTGCGGACTTTGTCTACACAACAGCGAGTCAGTTCTACACATAATATTCTATTAGAAAGCCCAGTTTTAAATGGTAACAAAAGACCATTGTGATAATTATACCAGATTTTAGACAAAACAATACTCAACAAGAAAAGATTTCTAAGAAACCTTGTTCTTAAAATTATGGGATATTCGGTACACAACAGTAACATATTTAAAAACCAAACAGGGTACGGTAATTTTGCAGTGAAAACTTTAATTTGTGAATCGGTTTCTCTGATGGATTATTGGATTATGGATAAAGATAGTTCACAGCATCGCAAACAGATGTATTAGTTCGAGCATGGATTACTGTGGATTATGGATACATGAATGAAGTGAATACACACAACATCTCTGTTGCCTGCGGTAAAATTGGATCAAGGGAGGTAAAAAATATTTAAAATGGCATCAAGACGGAAGAGTGCACGGCCTACGAACAAATCACGACAACAGATACAGGAAAACGACGATGATGATACTACTGAGATGATAGAGGCGATGAAACCTAAGGTGAGGAAATGTTGACACGTCTACCTAGATTAATATACAGGTAAATGTAAATGAAAAGGTGTGAAAAGTTAAGAAATGTGATAGTATACAAGGTAAAAACAAGATTCTGACTAAATTTCTACATACATTTAAATTTACAAAATTAAATTTTTAAATCTTAGGTTATAAAATTTAGCCCAATGATTCAAAAACGAATATAGGTATGTTTAAAATTGTGTTTTCTGTTTCGCAAAGCTTCTTAGAAAATATTTTAAGTATTTAAAAAAAGAAATTAGAATAATTTAGTGGAGAATGGATTAGTTACAGTAATCCTTAAACGTGGTTCCTAGTAGGACTACAGCCTACTCAATAAATACAATAGAAAAAATTAAATACTGTTTAGAGATCGGAAGGTCCATAGGTCGGATGAAGCAATGTGTTATAATCCATTCGTGACCTAGCAATAATGTTGAGACCATATATGGTCAGCACTATATCCACTGCAAGATCACGTCTCAGAAAGAACGAGTAGGCCTACCTAATCAAAACCAAATTTCATATCGTGTTTTTTATAATTACAAAAGGTATTTAGGACATAGAAAATAAGATGTTTTTCTCTTTAGAAGAATTGTTATTGTTTCTTCTAAGGTCAATGACACGAGAGAGGCCTATGCCAACTGATTTAAAGTTCGGCAGGATATAATTCAGATAAAACGCTTTAATTAATTAATTAATTAATTAATTAATTAATTAAACTGTGTAGTGCGCTTCGTACACAATGTGTGTAACTGATGAATTGTCGGATCAGACGGTATAAAATACATACATTGGAGGCTGGAGGGGGAAGGGGGTGGGGGACGGTGGAATCAAAGGAAGAATATCAGGCTGGTATAAGAAGCAGACGTTAAGACTGTGGCGGTGAACGTGTAGCAGACGATGTACGGGAAACTTTCGCGCCACACGAGAACATAGGTTTTGTTAAGGGGTGGGGGGGGGGGGGGGGGAAGGGGGGAGATTATTTGGGGAGAACGGGATTCTGTGCTAAAATGAGACATTGCGTTTTATAGATAATGTTGAAACAAAATCTAATCTGTTTAATTCGGTGTAGAAATTATAACAGCGTCATATTGTAAACATTCGCATAGTCTGTTTGTTGCTGTAACATTATTCTAACTAGTACATTCTTTTAACGATGTCTAGTTTTGTCAAAATACTTTTACAAACAGCCTAAAAGTCCTATTGTAAAAATAGTAAAAGCCATATTTATGTCGCAAAACGGCTATGTTTACGTTAAACTACAAAACAAGCATTTTAACTTTAACCAATAAAATATGGATGGAATTAGATTGACCAATTTACTAAAAAGGTAATATATTTATAAATAACTTTACAGTTTCACAAAATCCAACTGTTACTCTCCCTTTTTATCTACCTTCTATTTTAACCCAAACCTATGAACGGCTTGATTCTATTTAATATCAACACACCTTCCAGCCTTCAATATTTACACGTCCCCCCCACCCCCCTTTACCTCTAAGTTCAGACAAGAGCACACACTCACACCGGGGGTAACATACCATGCATGCACAGCGCTCACGTCGATTGTAGCAGGCACACAGGCCCCTGCGCGCACGCACCACTTCCTTATTTGGCACATCTTGGCTGCCTTGCCAAAGTTCCCAGTGAATTTGGAACAACCGGGTTAGTTCTCTGCGCGTTCGACCAGACTTGGCCTGGCACGGGCCTATGGCACCACGCACTTACAACACAAACACACACGCATATAGCACCACGCACATACAACACAGACACTCGCGAGGAAATGAATTCTTTCGTTAAACTCTCTACTCTGACATGGCGATGAAATATGATGTCTTAAAAACTGCACTCCTAATTGTAACACACACACATAGACACACACTAACACGCACATATATTTATATATTATTTAAGCAATCTTTATAATGTATATATATATACATATATATATGTATATATATGTATATATATATGTATATACATATATATATATATATATATATATATATATATATATATATATATATATATATATATATATATATATATATATATGTATATATATATAAATGTATATATATATATATATATATATATATATATATATATATATATATATATATATATATATATATATAATAATAATAAATGCATACATATGTATAGGCCATATATATTCATCTTCATATAACGTTAAGCTCTTTTAGGCGAAGAAACACATCTTTGTTTCTTTTCAAGCTTTCAGTATCGTTATATTTAATGTAATGATGAAACAAACGTTCATAGACGAATTGTATTTAAATAGGTAAATTTTGGAATAATAATCATTAAAAAAGTTTTAAAAAACCCACGTTTTCTGATTGAACTAAAAAGTAGAAAATAAATGCTATAGGCCCTACATCACAATAATGCAAGCGATCACTCTACTATAAGCGATGAAAAACGTGGGGCGCCGAAGTAAAAGTTATATTACTATTGATTAGATAATACTATTGACTTTTATTAGGGAGCTTGTAGAGAGTCAACAGTATTAGAAACTGTAAGAAAATCACGGCGCCCCACGTTTTTGCTCGCTTATAGTAGAGTGATCGCTTGCATTATTGTGATGTAGGGCCTATAGCATTTATTTTCTACTTTTTAGTTCAATCAGAAAACGTGGGTTTTTTAAAACTTTTTTAATGATTATTATTTTCTACTTTTTAGTCTTTGTCTGTTTGTTTGCATTAAAATCTTGCTATCGATTTTATCTTTTCACTTTTTTTGGGTAAACGAAGACAACTCGTAAAAAGACAACTCGTAAAAAGACAACTCGTAAAAAGACAACTCGTAAAAAACACGTTGTTTGAATACGTTACTGACTAGAACACATAGATTTGAACCCGTGTCGAGTGGGATAGCAATCGTGTGCCCAACCACTCGACCATATCGTCTCCCCCAAACTGGCCTACCTCCTGTAAGTTTAAACTCGGTTCAAGCTTAATTCTCTGCCCCTAAGCCTGTGGCGACATGTGATCGTTCGCTTCACTGCGCGCGAGGTACGCGTCGCTGGTTTTTTTTCTAATGGCTAGCAGAGGAGAATTATATATATAGATTATATAGCGGTCTAAAATGCTCAATAAAATGTTTCCATTGATCAATTTAGTAATAAAAACAATAGAATATTCAATTGTCATCCAAAACAAAGCTTCCCTGAAAATTTCAGCGCGCTAGCTAACTGGGAAGTGCCAGAAATTTCGATCGCAAGATTTGATTGGAAAGACAAACAAATAAACACACAGAGAAAGCAAGTTAAAGAAAACGTGGGAAAAATACTGAACAAGGGGGATAACTGGTAAATAAAGAAGTGGTTCCAAAACACTGTATTTCTTCCTCACAGGTAGAAGATTCAAAGCCTCCCGACACTTATAAAAAGGAACAACGTAATTTTAAAATTGTAAATGGAAGTGTGTCTTCTGGAATTATAAGAATCTATGACTCATAACTGATGGGATCTATATTTGAAGCACATGTTTTAGATCGGTGAGGGGGGATGGGGGTGTGGAGGTAGGAGGGTGTTCCAGTTTGTTACCTGTTAACAAAAGTTAATTATGTTTTATAATTATAATTGAAAACAAAAAAAGGCACAACATCTAAAGCAGAAACTATTTCTTAAATAAGTAGTTGAAAACCCCACTATAAAAGGGTTACAAAAACCACGTGAAAACTCACAATTCATGTGAAATAAATTATTGATAACAATGTCAATATCCTACAGTGGTCATTTAAAGAGGTAACGGTGAGGGTGGGGAAGGGTTGATTGAGCATCAGCACGAGGACCTTGATATTAATTACATATTTTCTCATTGGTAAGATAGTTAATTTCATTAAGAAAGGCTCTTTTATTTTTAATCTATCAATCAAAATTTTTGGTTAAAATTTACCTACCACAAAAGGGCTGCATGTGTTAACTAGATCAGTCATCGTGAACTGTTTAGACACTGTTTACATTACGTTAAGTGTGCTCTCCGTAAATTAAAGGTGCATTTAGTTCTGGTAATGAAGTGGGGTGACTCATAGTTTTAGAACAAATACAAGAACTACTTTGTTTGTCATATGTTATTGTGATCAATCTCGCCTTAGGTCTATATTAATTAAACTTACATACATTATTATATTCTGATACATTTCATGTCACAGATTTCACCAAAGAATGAAGCCAATGGCCTCAACCCTCCCAAGAAGGCTGCATTTCAACTCAGGCATGACCCGACCCAAGATAGGCCTGACCCACACGTAACACTAGATGGCCCTGACCCACACACATCACGAGAGGGTCAGGGGCCACACACATTACGTGATGGCCAGGGGCCACACACATCACGAGATGGCCAGGGGCCACACACATCACGAGATGGCCAGGGGCCACACATCGCCATACCTTCAGATATCTACCACGACTTTGAAGCTCTGAAATCTTTAACCAAACTCGACACGGGGGACTTAATGAGAAAACTACTCAAAGACTATCAGAGGTGGGTGCGTGTCTGTGTCTTATGTGGTTTGGTTTCGTGTAATGACTGATCTTTACATTCTATAGATCTGGTGCTGCTTAAGGTTACTAACGTAAAATTGTTGGTCGAGATTGAGAATGGCTATATGGGCACTGGTTTCCCCACGCGGGTGTGGGGTGGTGTACAGTTGTGGGGTTGGTGTAGGTGGTGTAGTGTTGTGTCTTGGTGTTGGGTGATGGAGGGGGTTTAGGGTGGTGTCGGTTTTTGGGGGTGGTGTAGCGTTGTTGGGGAGGTTGAAGATGGTTGCGTTGTTGTAGGGTGTTAGGTGTGGTGTTAGGTTTGGGCGTTGTTAAGGAAAAGGGTGGAGTAAGGTGTTGGGGGTGGTATTCAGTTGTAGGCTGGTGTGGGTGGTGGAACTAGAGGGTGAAGGGTGGTTTAGTAATATAAAAGCACAATGTACTCATAGTGTTGGTGTGTGTGTGTTTGTGTGTGATGAGTTAAAATAAGTATACACCCTATCTGCGGCAATGCGCATCTGAAATGTGATTTATGTGTTTTTTAGAATGACGTCATCTAACCAAGCATCACGTGAGAGAAGGCTCGATGACGTCATCGGCGACCTGGTGGCCGCGAGGACCACAAGCATCCTTGACCTGTCCAAGAAAGGTGCGGCACTGTACGGCTGCCAGGCGGGCGGGAGCGCGAACTCTCCAGTGGCAGACGACAAGGTCGCCATGGGCATGTACAACAGCGAGGTGGACGAGGCTGAGATGGACGACGACACGGGACCTTTGGATCTGACTCTTCACAAGCCGGACCAAGCTGCGTCACCTGACTCGGCTATCGTAGAAGACATAACCACGAAACTCACACCTTCAACTCCTACCTACCCCTCATCTCAGAACACCGAATCCAGCGCCCGTAATTCTTTAAAAACAACAGGTTCCTATGTCATCAACTTAGAATCAGCATCAACTGAAGGTCCCAGTTCTCACATATCAACATTGTCTCAAATTCTCAGTCTCGGGACTGCGCCAAACTCATCCAGTAAACATAATGCAAACACTTCCGACGTGAGTAGTTTGCTGTGGAACACGGCTAAACGCACGAGCGAGTCCTACACGTCTGAAACAAAACCCAGTTCAAGTAAGCCTCCCACTCCTCTAGTGAGCACTCTATCCTTTCAACAGCAGCTGGTGAGTACTCCCAAACTTGGTGGCTTACCATCTTACACCGAAGCTCTAAACTCAGTTTTGAACTCACACAAACAGCCTAAGAAGTCGCAGGTAAATACAGATACAGCGCCCAGTTCAGAAAAACAAACACCGACGCAGGAAAAGTTAAGCATGACGAACAATGGATTATCGTTTTTTCAAATCCACACCGAAGATGCGGATATCAAATTTATACCGTTTAACTTCAACCCGCAATTAATGTCACCGATGAGCGAACAGCAACATAAATCGTTTATGGCGCAATCGACGTTGCAGAAAGAATCAAACGAACAGAAACCCACACAGCCGAACCAACAGCCACAGTTATCACCTGATGTTCCTAAATTTCAGATGTTACCAGTGCAAGCCGCCAAACAAGAAAATCCCGAAAATCCAAAATTTATGAAAAGCACGGAATTCCCAAATTTTTTACTGGATCCTCAAACTATGAGGACGACGAGTATAAACGATCCACAAACATCCATGTCAATGCCTGCGTTCTTCGTCACATCCACCACCAACGGAGTCAGCAACATGGTCGCCATACCCTTGCTTCACAGTCTTCCAGAGGGAATCACCGGACTCCAGCCCTTTGCGTTTGCACCTCATCCCACACCCGTTTCAACTTCATCGTCTATTTCATCTCCACAAATGATGTCCACACCTCCACATATTGCTGTCTCAGATCTTAACAAACCCACGGAGCACTACTCCAGCTTTGATAACACTAACCAATCCACCAAACCATCCCCCGAGTCTCCTGTATTTAACATGGAGCCTTTGCCTTCCCCTACACAGTCCCAGGTCAGGTCTAAACCAGGGCGCCCCAGGGGCAGGGGTGGGAGAGGACCGTCACAAAGAAATCAGAACAAAGACATGAAACTTCTGACAGAAAACACGCTTTTCCCTGGCGTCTACACAAGTATTTTAAAACTTCCTTGGAGCAGACGCTCTAGAAATAAATCAAAAGTTAAAACAGTTTCTGAACTGAAAAGAGAAGCACAGATTATAGCGCAAGATAAACTTAACGAGACAATGTCTGAAATTACAACGTCTGAAGCCAATAGACTACACGTCGATGTCCAGAACTGTGATTCGTTTTTAGAAGACAGGAGGGAGTCGCTAGATCTTGGAACTGCCAAGAACGTAAACGAGCATAGTCTCACGGCAGTTCAACGCCAGCAAAAACTGGAGGAAGAGCTACAACAACAGTCAGTTCATGCACAGAAACAGAAAGATCTTGAGCAACAACAGCGTCTTCACGCCCAGTACCATCTCCGGCTTCAAGAAGAGCAGCGGAAGTTGACAAAACAAATCGAAATGTCGTACCTTGCTACATCCGGGTCTCTACCAAGTTCGGTCGCGTTTTCGATGTTATCGCAGCCCGGTTCCTCCATTAAACAGGATGAGATGAATAACGAAATTCCCCAGTCTATTTCTCCTGGTCAAATTCCTCCATCTTGCCACCTTTTGTCCGATGTCTTGTACGGTAAACAAATTATCCCACAGTCCAGAGACCCTATGATGATGGTGTATTCCAGCCTCGATCCCAACGGTTTAAAATCCTCACCACGAAAACGAGGCCGGCCTCCTAAAACACCAACGCTACCACGACCTACTGAGGAAACGTCTTTGGATGGAACTTCAACAGGAAACTTAATCTCAGCTCCACCAGATAATTTCTTAAACCTGACAGCCCCTACAAGCACACAAAACGTATCAACAGTGAACATGACTCTCACTACTAAAACCGAGCTTCCATATCATCACTCGTTTGACCTAGAAAACGTAACGGCACTGACGCCAAAATTAGAAACACAATCAGACAACGAAACTGAATTAGCGCTGGATCAAAAGATGTCTTTCTTATCTAATTCCTTGACGCTCGCGAACCCTCAACAAATGTCTCACCTTGATTTACCTGAATTGCCTGCAGGTACCTCAGGTGTGGCTGAAGGAAACTTTGAAACCAGCGAGACCAGAAAAGACGAGCTCAGTTTCCCCGAGCCTCGTTCTGAAATCAAACCCAGGAGGAAGAAAGTCTCCAGGCTGCTCAAATCAAACGAAAATTTTATTTACGCCACTTTTAAAATCAAACCTAAAACTGGAAGTCTCATGCCGAGGAAAACGAGAAAAAAGAGAAAAGATGTTTTAGCTACAACAGCGGCCGCAGCAGAGACTATCGCAAATCTCAGACAGAAGAAACTTCTAGACGCTGCTAGCGATAGGGCGGATAAAAACCTCGCGATGGTCGCGTGGAAGTTTCACGAGCAGTACCCGTGCTTGGAAGACGAGGCAGGGGAGAGAAGTGATCCGAGATCAGTGTGTGTTACTTGTGGAGCCTTAACTCCCTTAGGCAGTGAAGAGTACCTTAACAACCAGTGTAACTCGTGCATGCAGGAGACCCCGTTATCAGACCAGCACAAACTGAACTGTGATACAGAATCCAGGGCGGAATGCTGCGTCACATGTGGAAGAATATTCCAGAAACACTTCTCCGACCCCAGCTCCAGATGTGAAACCTGCATCCGATCCATAGATACATCCATTAAATCATCCAAGCTATTTTCCTTCCACGATTCCCCTACAACATCCACAACAGCATCGTATCCATTAGACTGTTCGCTATCCACTCCTTCAACCACAGCCTCATCCATTGTTTCTCAACTAATGGATGTTAAATCCGCGGGGATGAAAACAGCCAAAGTCAACAACAACCACCTTTTCTGTAGCTTATGCCGCATGGAGTTCACGAAAATCTGTGACTACCTAAGTCACATTCGCGATGTTCACGAAAACAAATTGTCAAAACCCCAACCCTGGCACGAACCCGTACAAACTGATACGATAAAAAAGATAAAAGCATCAAAGACGAAGAAGTCTTTAGCGCATAAAACTTTAACCTGTCCTGTTGAGGACTGCCCGCATTTTTTCAGAGAGCAGAAAGATTTGGATATGCATTTCGTGAAGAAGCATTCCAGTCTCGGGACTTGTTCTCATGTTGATTGCACCTTTGCGTATATATCGCGTGAAGAACTGGAGAATCATCTTCGGTGCGATCATGGCGTGACTACGATCCCCGCGGGATCGAATCCTGTCGAGGACAGTCCTGTGAAGTTGCCAGATAAACCTTGTGCTGCGTCCTCGGTCAGCGAGAAACCGTTACGGTGTGAGTTCTGTGACTACAGGTGCCGGCAGAAAAACGCCTTGACGTGGCACATGAGAAAACATCCAGAGGCGGCGTCGCTGTACAGAAGATACAGTGGCGTCAACTCCGAATAGCACACCCAGAGGCGGCGTCGATGTACAGAAGATACAGTGGCGTCAACTCCGAATAGCACACCCGAAGGTGGCGTCAACGTTCTGAAGAGACAGTTACGTAAGCTCCGAATAGCATACCCAGTACAGAAGACACAATGGCGTTAGCTCTGAGTAGCACAGTAAGATGCGGCGTCTCTTTACAGCGGCATCAACGCCGAATAGCGGCTGTTGTTCCATTACTTGTGTACACTGTAAGGGAATTAACTCAGTGCAGCATTTGGTTAGCTGAAGTGATACTTCTAAATTCCTAGATGATGATGTGTATAGCTCCTTGTATTGAACGCGCCAGTTATTTTAATAATATAAATTGTTATTTGGCATTTTCTGTTCCTTGCTTTGTTTTAAATGAAATTTATAATTTAATAAACCGAATGTAGTGAACATTCTTATGTTTTTAATTTAGAAAGTAAATATTTCTTTTCAAGTGTATTTGTTTCGTTCACTAAAGCAAGGCGTAGATAACGTAACATTGGCTAAGTATTCCTGTGATGCGGATGAGTTTAGCAAGAAAATAATTTTCCTACCCTTAACAAATACTCCCCTTGAAATTACTAAAGTAATTAATGAATTTAACTTTCAATTTGATTCATTAAAATATAAAATATTAAACACTTATTTCCAAAATTATCTAATAACAAAAAGGCCCTAACTAACTAACATAATTTAGGCTATTAAGAGATAGTCGTAAAACTATATGTATATTTTTCGTTAGTGTAACTTAAGAGTAAGGTATATATCTGTGATCGATGTTTTCAAAAGGGAAGTAATCAAAATAAAAATTCTTCAGAAACCACACACAACCTCCGCTTTTGTAACACAATAAAATGGTTGTAGCAATTTTTTTTTTTACTTTGATAATTTATGGAGTAAAAATTGAATTAAACGGTGTGTATGTTAGAGCAAATCCTTTATGTGGCCTAGAGGGAATGTAACTGCATGACTTTTACTGTGTATTATTGCTGGAGCATCACTTGACTTAAGTCAGAGCAAGTGTTGACTGAAATCATATATGTATATACATATATATATATATATATATATATATATATATATATATATATATATATATATATATATATTTTATATATATATATATATATATATATATATATATATATATATATATATATATATATATATATATATATATATATATATATATATATATATATATATATATATATATATATAATTATATATTTAGGCATTGACTTGTGTCAACAGTTTGAAGAGATTTTAAAACTGGAGTGAAAATGATAAAGTAAGTATTAGTCAAAGACGAGGCAAGTACGTTTTAACAAACATTAAAATAAAATGAATCTAAAAAACATTTTTTCACGATAATTCGACCACAGCAGGTAAAAAAACATACAACTACGCATTAAAACTATTGTATTTATTTTTGTTATAAAAATATGTCACATGTCTAAAATAATGGAAATTTACTGTCTATGCAAAGGTTGTGCTGGCTTATTTTCCAGTCAAAATTTAAAGCATTGGTCATATTCATTTCATACAAAATTACTTTATTGTGAATTAAAACAAGCAATTTTCTCAACTAATTAATTAAATCAGTAGTTTAAATAAATTCTACACTCATATTTAATTTTAACACACACAAAAATTAAAGTACATTATTTCCAGCAAAAAAATATCATAATAAAACAAATTTTATAAATATTCATCAAAATGCTTAAATTTAAATAATTATATAACAAATTAAGTATACATTCAGCAAATTTATTGCGTTCACATTTCTTTAAATGAGGCTATATTCAATTGTTGAACAAATGTGATGAATTACAATTAGATGACAAATTTTATTTACAAACAAAAAGATGAACATCGGCGATGTGTTACGATACATCATGTTGGAATAGTCTATATGTTGTATTTGTCTTTATACTGTGAAGAATATTTTTGATAGAATCATAGTTTTCAGTGGTAAATTGTTTTCTGGTGTTAGTATGGCCTACACGACACACGTAATAAGTGTGGGTATAATTTCTTCAGATGGGGTAACTATGGCAACAGATGAAATTTACTTTATCTGCCCAATGCATTTGTTGGTTCATATATGTTTCGACTTTTAATTATACACGTTGTTTAGTTGTGTTATGGATTTACTAAAAAAAATCGTTATAACTTTCCTGCACTTTGGTGATATTTTACAAAGTTATCAAATGGTTAGAATGGTATCAAAATAATCTCCTCCTTTAATGAGTTCTTTGTTATTTATATAGGGACAATTAGACAGATAGTCAACACGCCACATGTGATTTATTCTCCAAATCAACCTCAACACACAGTTAACACATTTGAAGCTCCCACATAAAACTGTGATGTGAAAATTAAAAAAAAATAAACTGTTGCCGGACAGATAGCCTTTGTGAAAACAACGATGATGAACACAGTCATGTTTATGGCACTGTTTGAGAGATGTACGTCTCAGATTTGTGACCCTTGTTGTAGGGTCCCTTGCCTCTTTAAGTGAAACTAAGAAAATTTGCTTTAAAAATTGTTGTCTGTCAAACGTACATTTCAAACATTTTATTTTAAATTGGTTACATATGAAGGTATTGGTTGTAAATGTACATTTTATATATTAAACTGTGTTAAAATGATGATCTAAACATTAATGCAGAATAATTTATACTGTTTTATTCCCGATTGTTTGTTTTGTTTTTAGAACACTAATCTTCTAGATTCTTAAGTTATCTGCAGTCCCTAAATTTCTAGCTTTGAATCGTTAGGTGTGCAATTTATAATCAGTATTGTTACCTTTGATCACCTTATTACTCAGAAAGCTTTAGGATTTATAATTATCACAATCATTTTAAAATATCAACAACTATATAAAATATAAACAACTGTTAGTTTAATGAACAAGACATAAAGTTCAAAGTATTTGACTCTTTGGATGCATAAATTACTTCATGATTAGTTAATTTGAGAAACGTATAATTTTTTAAAAGTATATAGTATTAGTGTACTTCTGAAAGTTAAATATCAAAAGTCGTGTAAAAAAATATTGTTGCAATTTTATTTAGCAATGGTCATACAAATACATATTAGCTGAAAGCTGACATTGTAAGTGCAAGTTTGTGACTTTTTGTTTTGCAGCTGAAATCCTTTTTGGTTTCAGCTATCCAAGATATCTCAGCTAAACACAAATGATAACTTCTGTACCTCAAAATATGTTTTCCATTTCAAGTAATGCACGAGAAAGATTCGTTTAGGCTTAGCCAAGGTAGCAGTCTTGTTTGTAGGTTCAAAATATTTTCCAGAATCAGCCTTTTTTATGTAGCAATCAACTTTGCAAACTCAATTCCGAATTTGTGATCGATCAAATTTAATCAAGCACAAATTAAATTACTGATTAGAGATACAACCCAGTAATTCTAAACCAAATACAACTTTTTGTGATAAATCTTACTACTACTCGCATTGCCTCTTTAACTATGGGATGGATTATTTCAATACAGCATGATATGAAGAAATTATAGGTTGATGCATGAAGTGTCTAAATCAGTGTTTCCATATAAAAGACACAGAACCTTACTATTTTAAGTTCTGTTTTTTAAGTTATGAAACCATTACATTAGAATTGATTGTCTTGAAAATATAGTTCTGTATAGAAAAACTCGACAGGCGTGGAATGGCTAGTTACCGGCCTTGTCAAAGCTGATCTCTGGAACCATGTGGTCGCTCGGTGCTGTGGTCAGTCGTGTAGTCTGGACGTCGTTAAATTTCAGGCACCCGGGGACACATGGAAACCCGACTTCGAACCCCGCCTTGTCCAGCAGCCAGTAGGTCTGCATCATGCCCTTACCCTGGGGGTGGAACAATGGGTAGCAGGGGAAATAAAAATAAACATACAGTGATTTTAAAATCAATGGCAAGTAGAAAAAAAAGGTTTTAAATCAAGGGAGGCAACAGAAAAAAAATCAGCGTGATATATTTAAAAATAAATGGGAGGTAAAAAATAAATCGTTTTTAAAATCAAAGAAGGTAAGAAGAAAAAACAGTTCTTTTCTATTTTTAAAACAATTAAAGGAACGGAACACTTGAAAAAGGAGGTGGATCGGGTAAAAGCAGATAAAACTCATTTACTCTTATTTTAGTTTTTTTTCACTTTGCCATTCTATAGGCATACGTTTTAGATCTATATACGGATGTTAAAATAGAGTTCAACTCAGCAAGATAGCGCTAGTGCTTAGTAGAAATATAATTATTATTGTAAATAGTTGTTTCATAAAAACTGGTTATTAAAACGTGAACACAACAACAAAGCAGTGTATAATGGATAATGGGTACATATTTTGGGTAAAATCCCAACCTACGTACTATAACACACGTCAGTTTGTCTAGAACGAGAGAAAAACTTGCACTGTAAAAACCACTAAAGGATATACATTAACCTATATCAACGGAAATAGTTTTATTTTAACGAGTAGGCCTACAAGATGCTCAGTTTAAAATATCATCCTAGGCCTACACGATTCTCAGTTTAAATAATTTTTTTTTTAAATTTGTGACCGAACGAAATGATATTTTTGAAAACTTGCTTCGGCAATATTGTTCTAAATTATGGCAGGAATCGATTGGTAAATGTTTCAAGTCGCTAAGTGGTCTGGTTGCCGAGATATGGAGCAAAAACTTCATTTGTTCGAGGTTTTTTTTTTTGGCTTTTCCTGTAAATCCAGGAAGGAATTCCGGGAATTTTTTTGGCCCACAATCATCCTTGGAACTTGCTTAACATATTTGCTTTGGAACTAGTCCTCGATATTGCTTGGTTGAGGAGGAGATACCACTTAAAGCTGCGGACACACATCCATCCATCCATTCATACATCCAGAAATGACGAGTTAATAATCGCAATTGTCCTTATGGAAATTGCGCTAATCAGTCTCAAAAGAGTGCATGTTTTCTACGCAATTGTATTTGCTATTCTAGTTCTCTTGTAAATTTTCTTAAATGTATATGTAGTAAGACAGTTGTGCCAATCAGCATTGGTAAGACATGATTGAACACAATGTTGCTAAGGACGCGATTTTATTTTGTGTCTGAATCGTGTTTATGTTACCTGGAGAACTAGTCTGTCCGTCTTTTGAAGGACGAACTCCATAACCACCATCACCGTCTCCTGCCTGCTGACCTTTCTCGGGACCTTCCTGTAGGTGATCAGCGTGGCCCCGTGGACACTGCCGACCACCGTGGAGGTGCCGTTACTGACCAGATTGATGGGGTCGGTGTCCTGGATGAAACTTAATTCCGGGGAACCGTTGTTGGTTTCATGTGATGTGGTGCTAAGTCCAGGTGTGTCTTGTGTGGTGGGGAGAGGAGTGGTGGATCCAGGTGTTCCCTGGGAGGGGTTGGGGGGGGTGAAAAGTATGAAATCACTGACGAGGTGGGGTGTGGTCAGGATTTGACAACAATGGTACAGCACTGAAGCGGGGTATGCTCGACACCCACACAAAACAGCTTTGTAAAATAAAAAAATAAATTCAGAAGCTCGTTCATCTGTAAAACCATACAGATTTGACACCCACATAAAACGGCTTTGGCGGAAATTGTGTTTGGTCTGATGTTCCTTAAGCTGCATATTCTCGAAATACTTGACACATGCACAATACAGCTTTGAAGAAGTCTGAGCATACGTTAACATTGAAGCGAGATAGGTCCAACATCGAACAGTTTCGGAGAAATCTGAGCTTCACGCAGTAGTCAAGTGCGGACAGCACCAAAGCAAGCTGAGAACCTTTTCGCGACATCGCTGCATCGTTCTGATTGCTCACCTCCAAAAACACGAGCATGTGGATGAATAGTTTCCCAGGGCAGAAATGTAGATGACGCAATACAAATGTAACGGGAATTTCAAATTTTCCGAAAACAAATGACATTTAGATAATTCCATAAACCAGTTGCACTTGGATGAGCACTAATCTGATGATCTTAACCTTAAACTAAACTGTATCGTTATGAAAAACACTAATAAATAAATAAATATATATATATATATATATATATATATATATATATATATATATATATATATATATATATATATATATATATATATATATATATATATATATATATATATATATATGTGTGTGTGTGTGTGTTCTTAATGAAGCAACATTGAAAAAGAAACACATATGCATGCAACATTGACAGTAGTCAAGAACATCGTGACACTTTTATACAACAGTATCTATATATATAATTCTCTTCTTCGAGCCGTTAGAAAACAAGCTGCAAACGCTCTCCCTACCTCCCCACCCCTACATGGTTTTAGTGAGCTGTGTTCACTCTAAATGTTTACAAGCAGAGCCAACAATTTTAAACGTAGGGGGGGGGGAAGGAAGGGGGGGGGGAGTTTATGGTCCTTAACGAGCTACTTATAGTGTTTTAAAGAAATATTTTCAGTGTCAGCGTTAGTACTGCCGAATTTACAAATTATGAATTATTGAAAATTAGAAACAACTAAATAGCGGCGTATGTTATGCCGCGGGCCGGCTCGTTGGTTTTAAAAAGCAACTAAAGACAATATCTTCTATTCAGAGTCTATTCTATAGCCGTGTATACAGGCCCATGCTATGGGCTAGGGAAACCAGGCAAAATACCAAAGATCTCAAGTGATATAAAATGTTTAGTTTTCATCTATTGGTGTCTGACTTTGTGGCTGGGTGGTAAGATTCGTCTTCTATCCCGGCAGTCGCGGGTTCGGAACTCATGTCGTCATTGTAAATGTCATTATAAACTATCTTTACAGTGTTGTTCACATGATCCTATAACAGTGAAATGCTGGTAGATTGTATCTTTGGAGTGTGTGAGATTGCATCAGGGAGACAGTGGCTGTGCGCATGCGCGAGGGGAACAAGTAAAAAAGGAGGCAAGAAGATGGCGTAGCTTGGTTGTACATGCGGCCTGTGTGAAAACAAAATAAATATGAAAAACTGCAAAGAAGGCTTGTCTATTGATTTTACATGTGTAATATAAAAGGTAGGAGAAAGGCCTGTGACAAGTTTATATCGTGAACCCAGTCACACAAAAGGCTTGTGACAGATCCCCTTGCTAAACATTGGCGTGGAATGTCACAGAACGGAATTGTTTGCAATCGAAATATATATTCAATACCTGGTGGTCATATTTTTATTCAACGAGTAAATTTTTTGTAAGGAATTTAGGAAAACTATATAGAGGAATAAAATGTAATGTATCACATTCTGGGTAACTCACTGATTAGTTAATGTGGGCAAATGTTCGACACATTTACACCAGATTTATATGTTAGAGGGTGTGTCAATTCGAGGCGAAATGACCTGGAACAAATCACATGAGGGGGGGGGGGGGGGAGCAGACGGAACCATGAATAAACTTAGGCTAAACCATGATAGACAGGTCTAAGGGGTGGCTAGGGGTCATAGGTGGGGTGGAAGCATAGCTCTGACACAATTTCTTTTTTTCGGATTCAGGTGGGGAGGGGGGGGGGGTGGAGAAAGTAGGGGAAAATACAAAACATAGGCTTCTCAAAATAAAGCTTTTTCATATTTTTATTTTGCAGTAGTCATTATTGTGTATGTAATGTTATGGGCACTTATTTATGTGCTAAAGCGCAGCAATGGTTTGTCGCGTTTCAGCGATAGTCGGCGTTAAAGGGGTTAACATTTTAAATGCATGTTTGTACTACTATGACACTAATTACAATCAATCAAATCTCTCTATAACCTAGATCTGACATAGCCGTGATCATGAGAATGATAGTCTTGCAGGGAAAAAACAACAAAAAATGTGTTGTCTAAATGGCGATTTGACAGCATAGACAGGTGACATGTAACATGGAAAGCTGACAAAAACATTGAAGGATAATTTTAAAAATAAACTAACCTTGACCTCGACATGACCTCGGCAATCTAAATTGTAGCAACCCAACGATTCCAACGCTGAACATGTTGCTGTCGATACTTGAATTCGATCCGCTGTGGAATCGAATACAACACCCAGTAAGCCCATGCATCAAAATTTTCCCCAAAAATAAATTCTCCTAAACACATTTCACGAAAACATGTTAAGAATAGAATTTCTCTGAACTCAAAACAATGCTTTTAAGATATTATACGATATCAAACGAAATTAAAATATTTTTCTCATCGTAAAGTGCAAGTAATCAAGTGTCACGTCCTGTTAATTCGAGAGCGAGAGTAATTTCCCTTGTTTAAAGTTCGGCCGCCAAATCGTCATATGAGGTGATCACTATAATCAAACGATGACAAATACCGTTCACCATTTATCTTTTTTATCATATAAAATAGCACTATCAACTATCAACCACTTATTATTTTTATTAATCGATTCAAGTTCTATTTTAGTTGTTAGAAATATTTTGATAGTTTAATTTTTAGGTATTGTAAATGTATACAATATATATATATATATATATATATATATATATATATATATATATATATATATATATATATATATATATGTCGATAAAGCTTTGTGTGTTTGTATGTGTGTGTGTACGTTCTCGCGTGTGTCTGTGTAAAGAATTTACGTTTGTTTACTGTTCACGGAAAATTCCGGACCCAGGGTAATTCTCTGCTCACCTTCAGAGTTTCATCCAGGCATCTCTTCCCCCCCCCCCCCCCCCCCCGAACGAAATAAATTTATATAGAAAACATACTTTTACCAGTGTCCGCACCCCTCCCCCTGGAAATATCAAGTGCCCCCAGGAAAAAAAAATATCTGGAAGAAACACGGCTAACCTTTTCCGGTGGACTCCATCCTGCTGGCAGTGTTGACCGTGTCGCCAAACAGGCAGTACCTGGGCATCTTGGACCCGACCACCCCGGCAACGACTGGACCTACGAGCATTGAGGTGCAGGTTGGAATGTTTGGTTGGGCCATGGTGCAAGTTATATAAAAAAAAAAACTACACAAGAGCCCTCTCAGCAATAACAAAACAGATGATTTAACTTTGTCCTACAACAGATGACTTAACTATGTCCTACATCAGGTGACTTAACTATGTCCTACAACAGATGACTTAACTATGTCCTACATCAGATGACTTAACTATGTCCTACAACAGATGACTTAACTATGTCCTACATCAGATGACTTAACTATGTCCTACATCAGATGACTTAACTATATCCTACAACAGATGACTTAACTATGTCCTACATCAGATGATTTAACTTTGTCCTACAACAAATGACTTAACTATGTCCTACATCAGATGACTTAACTATGTCCTACAACAGATGACTTAACTATGTCCTACATCAGATGACTTAACTATATCCTACAACAGATGACTTAACTATGTCCAACATCAGATGACTTAACTATGTCCTACAACAGATGACTTAACTATGTCCTACATCAGATGACTTAACTATATCCTACAACAGATGACTTAACTATGTCCTACATCAGATGACTTAACTATGTCCTACAACAGATGACTTAACTATGTCCTACATCAGATGACTTAACTATGTCCTACATCAGATGACTTAACTATGTCCTACATCAGATGACTTAACTATATCCTACATCAGATGACTTAACTATGTCCTACATCAGATGACTTAACTATGTCCTACATCAGATGACTTAACTATATCCTGCAACAGTTGACTTAACTATGTCCTACATCAGATGACTTAACTATATCCTACAACAGGTGACTTAACTATGTCCTACATCAGATGACTTAACTATGTCCTACATCAGATGACTTAACTATGTCTTACAACAGATGAATGAACAAAAGCTTAAAAAGGACAAGTTACCTATCTATATATATAATTCTCCTCTTCGAGCCGTTAGAAAACAAGCTGCAAACGCTCTCCCTACCTCCCCACCCCTACATGGTTTTAGTGAGCTGTGTTCACTCTAAATGTTTACAAGCGGAGCCAACGATTTTAAACGTAGGGGGGGGGGGGGGGGAAGGGGGGGGGTGTTATGGTCCTTAACGAGCTACTTATAGTGTTTTAAAGAAATATTTTCAGTGTCAGCGTTGGTACTCTCGAATTCACAAATTATGAATTATTGAAAATTAGAAACAACTAAATAGCGGCGTATGTTATGCCGCGGGCCGGCTCGTACCTTATAAAATACGACTTGACTGTATAATTAAGATGCCATTAAAAATACCTGATTGCCTATTAACCGAATAAAAGATTTCCTATTTGTACCAACTAAATATGTCATCTCAAACAGATGACCTACATATTTCTAATGAAATTTGTTTTTAAATTAATTGCGTTAACTGTTTCTATGAAAACGCGGGATAACCAATCTGTATCTAAAATATGGTAAATAAAATTTTAATTCTCAAGATGTAAGCTTATTTAATGTATCTTGAGAATTCGAGATGACCTTTCTGTATCTATAATACTTACCTATATATATGAAGGTAAGGTGACTTACCTGTATCTATAAACATAAACGACTTGCCTGTATTTATAAACAAAGACGACGTACCCTTATCTGTAAACATAAACGACTTACCTCTATCTGTAAACGTAAGACGACCTACCTGTATCTGTAAACGTAAGACGACCTACCTGTATCTGTAAACGTAAGACGACCTACCTGTATCTGTAAACGTAAGACGACCTACCTGTATCTGTAAACGTAAGACGACCTACCTGTATCTGTAAACGTAAGACGACCTACCTGTATGTATCCCGGCCCGTAAGCTGAGGTTCCTCCCAGGTAAGTGTGGGATACCTATATGACCGGCGTGATGGGAGAGATCCAGCGCCATGTTGGCTATCTGTGTCACGTGTTTTCTACCGTTGCGTTTAGGGACACCTTTGGCGGGGGAGAAGTGTGAAAATGGAGGGCGGGGGCAGGGTCAAATTAGTGAAAATAGTTCATAGTTTGAATAACTCTAAAGTTATCAATTTTTAACTTTCTTAAACCTTTTCATGAACAATATCTAAGAGACAATGAAAACAATTAGAACAATATCTAACAAAACCGTGAAAACAAATAGAACAAGTTCTTACAAAACCATGAAGCCTACATAAACAGGACAATACCTAACTAGACCATGTACACAAACAGGACAATACCTGACTAGACCATGTACACAAATGTAACAATACCTGTTAAGATAATATAAACAAATGTAACATTACTTGACTAGACCATGTACACAAACAGGGCAGTACCTGACTAGACCATGTACACAAATGTAACAATACTTGACTAGACCGTGTACACAAACAAGACGATAGCTGATCAGAATATGTACACAAATGTAACAATACCTGACTAGACCATGTACACACATGTAACAATACCTGACGATACGATGTACACCAATGTAACAATACCTGACGATACCATGTACACCAATGTAAAAATACCTGACGATACCATGTACACAATTGTAACAATACCTGACGAGACCATGTTCACAATTGTAACAATACCTGACCAGATCATGTACACAAATGTAACAATACCTGACCAGATCATGTACACAAATGTAACAATACCTGACGAGACCATGTACGCAAATGTAACAATACCTGACTAAACTATGTACACAAATGTAACAATACCTGACGATACCATGTACACAAATGTAACAATACCTGACTAAACTATGTACACAAAGGTAACAATACCTGACGAGACCATGTACACAAATGTAACAATACCTGACGAGACCATGTACACAAATGTAACAATACCTGACGAGACCATGTACACAAATGTAACAATACCTGACGAGACCATGTACACAAATGTAACAATACCTGACGATACCATGTACACAAATGTAACAATACCTGACGAGACCATGTACACAAATGTAACAATACCTTACAAGACCATGTACACAAATGTAACAATACCTGACGAGATCATCTACACAAATGTAACAATACCTGACCAGATCATGTATACAAATGTAACAATACCTGACGAGATCATCTACACAAATGTCACAATACCTGACGAGACCATGTACACAAATGTAACAATACCTTATTAGACCATGTACACAAACAGGACAATACCTGACTAGACCATGTACACAAACAGGACAATAACTGATCAGACAATGTACACACTTATAACAATACCTGACTAGACCATGTACACAAACAGGACAATACCTGACTATACCATGTACACAAATGTAACAATACATGACCAGATCATGTACACAAATGTAACAATACCTGAAAAGATCATGTACACAAATGTAACTATACCTGAACAGCTCATGTACACAAATGTAACAACACCTGACGAGACCATGTACACAAATGTAACAATACCTGACTAAACTATGTACACAAATGTAACAATACCTGACGATACCATGTACACAAATGTAACAATACCTGACGAGACCATGTACGCAAATGTAACAATACCTGACGAGACCATGTACACAAATGTAACAATACCTGACGATACCATGTACACAAATGTAACAATACCTGACTAGACCATGTACACAAATGTAACAATACCTGACTAGACCATGTACACAAATGTAACAATACCTGACTAATCCATGTACACAAATGTAACAATACTTGACCAGACCATGTACACAAATGTAACACTACCTGACGAGACCATGTACGCGTCCCCTATAGTTTCCACCTTGTACACGTCATACAGTTCCAGACGCCGGTCAAAGCACGTGTACAGGTTGTTTAGGAGGTCAACGACCTCTAGCGGCGAGCAGGAGGCGGCGATGGTGGTGAAGCCCACGACGTCGGAGAAAAATATGGTCACGTCCTCATAACTCTCAGCTGGTACCTGTGATAAATATTCCTATTTTATTAATTAAGTCATATGATATTTTAAACTGAACAATCGAAACAACGTGTCAACGTACTTTACAATATTGAAAAGCTAAATTATTTAACTGCTTTTCTTCTTTCTTCTTCGTTCTCAATTTTTTAACGTTGTAGGGATTCCCTCAAACACAATTAAGTTTAACTTTTTATGCGCCATATAGGCTGTTGACTCCGATTTCAGCCTCCTTTCATTTTTTGTGTTTGCTTCCATAGCCTTTGTCCAGCCAAGAACTAACTACAAGGCAGCAGTTGTTTGTTTTTGGAGCTGTCTGTTCTAGAACAGTTCCTGTCCCCATCTATTCTCATCTACCCGGGGTTTCGAACTCAAGACTTTTCGGTTTAGTAGCCTTGAGCTTTACCGACTAGACCACGATGTTATGAACAATTTTAAACAGTAATAATCATTATCCAATTAATCCTCACGGCCATTTATAACAGCATGACCTCTAGTGCAAGCGTGTACCAAGAAACCACACATTACTGTACAGGCGGTATTGGAAAACATCCACAAACATTTTTGTTTACTAAACAATAAGCTGAGCCAAACCCGAACCCCAACAGTTAACTTTATCAGCAACTTAGATCAGTGGTTCTTAACCTGGATTCGATCGAACCCCAGGGGTTCGGTGAGTCAGCCTCATGAGTTCAGCAGAGGTCAAGACACCCGACTCACACGATCGGATATTGTCTGACGATATAACCATTAAAAAGGGGGTTCTGTGAATGGGCATATGAAACTGGTGGGGTTCAGTACCTTCAATAAGGTTAAGAACCACTGCCCTAGAGCCAGGGGCGTAGCGAGGGGGGTGCGGGGGGGTGCGGATCGCACCGGGTGAAACCATTTAGGGGGGTGACACCAAGGCAAAAAATAGCAAAATATATACAGAAAAACTTGAGGGGGGGTGCAAATCGAAAGTTTGAGGGGGGTGCAAATCGAAAACTTGAGGGGGGGTGCAAATCGAAAGTTTGAGGGGGGGGGGTTGCAAATCGAAAACTTGAGAGTTTGTCCCCGGGAAGGGTCGCTACGCCTCTGGGGGGGGGGGGGGGGGACACACCATTAAGTGCCGCACCGGGTGACACCCGACCTCGCTACGCCACTGCCTAGAGCTACCCTATTCATTACTCTAAGATTAACACTAATCCTGTATTAGCTCGGTTTTAACCGGAAAGCACCAGACGTTTAAATTTACCGTGTTGTTTTCTTTCAGTTGCTTAGCAACCTGTTCTGGCAACATTTGATACAGCAGAGACTCCGCCCTCTTCCTCTCCTGATTTAATTCCTTAGACTGCTCCGAGAGGGAATTTGCATATTTCTAGAACAAACATATAAACCAATTTAAAGTTGATACAACCATAAATAGTATCAACATTAAAATTAAAAATCAAATATGTGTTATAAAACTATTTGTCTGGGAAAAAAAATCGTCAAAGAAAAATTAATTGGTTTCTGGATCAAAGAATCGGCCACAAATTGCCTGGCACGGAAGGCGTCCAACCGAATATTTTCTTCCAAATCCCCTCCTCTTTATTACTTATCCCTTGCCTCAGTTAACACTGCATCACTCCCAACTTACAAAATTTCATTCTACCCGAGTTCACAATCAATAAGTTTGCTGAGATTTTTTGTAAACATTTTGCTGTAATCCTTTTCAGCACAAAATAATGTCCTACGTTGATAAAATGCCAAACTTTTATTTAAGTTATATTTAAAAATGTGTGAGCTGTTGCTTTGGTTACCATACAACCATACAAGTCTGAATTTTGAAAAAAAGAAAATTACCAGCAGTGGTATCATAGAATCGATACACCTGGTAGTGTTATAAGGCGTGGGAGAGTGTTCAATGAAAATAAATTTACAGTTTATTTTATTTAGTTTTGACAAAGAGGCGTAGCGACCTATTCCAGCGCCCGGGGCGGACAATCAATTTTGCGCCCTCTCCCTCCCAATTCTAAATATAGTTATTTCTCCTGTGAAAAACCACTTATGTAAAGCCTTGTAGTCGTTTAGTTTCGTAACTTTGACTAAGGTTAATTCAATACTTCAGTTTAAAATGAGCGTTTAAATTAATTTTTCTACCTCTATTGGCGCTCCCTTATGGTCGGCGCCAGGGGCGGCCTCCCCACCCGCCCTCCCCTAGCTACGCCATTGGATTTACACACAATATGCATGGCGATATGGACGATAGAATTTGGACATTCTTCGCTCGAATGTCGTCTGCATGAATTAAGCTATCGGTTAATTTATAAATTTGGTGATGTATGTATAGGAGAGGGCGAAGCTATTATTTTACCTGTATATCTAGCCTGCTATGCCTATATAAGTGATGGAACTGCTTGTATATTAATCATGTATCCATAGGTGACATCTGTATAATTGAGGAAGCAGCTAATACCTTACCTGTATACCAAGCCAGCTATACATATTTGATTGAAGAAGCAGCTAGTATTTTACCTGTATATCCAGGAGAAGGATTCGAACCGAGATGACGATAATGGGCGCTAGCAGCACAAACACGCAGACCAGCGTTATACTGAGCGAGATCTCATCGGACGACAGGCGAGAGGACTCTGGTAAAAAAAAAAAACTGGTCATTTCCGGTGTTGGTGTGGACAGGTCATATAAAGGAGGCATATGGTTAGGATGCTGACTTCATAATGACTTCGTAATTTAAAATGATAAAATAGCAGAAACAATTTACAAGTCTTAATAAAAAATTAAATTGACAACATTTTAGCCATGAGCAGTGCCGGCGCCAGGTTAT